CTAATATCCACAAAAATATTTCTAATTCTGAGTGGCTCAGAGGGAGTTGTTTCCCTCCACCCCGAGACATGGTAAAAATGAACCCTTTTTATTTTATTTTCGTGCATTTTTTTTTCTATTTATCTTGATCAGTTTGAATTAAATATTGTTGTTAATCTTTACGAATTTTCTTTTTTTTTAAATACTTTTTAGAATAAAATTATGAATTAAAAAAGATATTGTTTAAAATAAAAAAATTAGTTTCAAATCCCTCCCGAGCAAAGCTTGGTATTTCTGATACCCCAAAGTTGTGTTCCAATCCCTGTCCTGTATACAATGTATACCAAAGTTAACCAGATTCCAAGTAAAATAAGTAAATTTGCTGATGACACCACATTGTTGGCTTAATATCTGAAGATGAAAGCGTGTATCACAACTTAGTTGCAATCTTTATCAGCTTTTGCGATACACATTTTCTTTAGTTGAATGGATTGGAGAATCCTTTTGTTGCAGATGACCTAGACAGTCCTATTCCATTACAGATCGTTCCTAAATGGTTTGGTTGAGATCCTCATATGCCAAAAGATGTAATTTAGTTAATCGTAAAATGTTGATAGTTAAGAGTACAAAAAAAAAAAAAAAAAAAAAAAAAAAAAATCTCGTTAAATGGCTTCGAAGGACGTGCACATTTAGTAATTGTTTGTAAATTTTAATTAGCTTTTAATTCATAACGGTGAGCTTTCAAACATGTACTCGCTACATTCACGATCGAAAAAAAACCTTTTTATTAAGAGTAAATTAAGGTTGGTGAATATCATTTCCGCAATCATATCATTTGTTGCTGTCAAGGTTTGGCTTACTAAACATGGATCGGATGACGTCATCGTATATTAAGAGGGAAGAAATTATTCAGGGTTTAAGTATATATTNATATATATATATATATATATATATATATATATATATATATATATATATATATATATATATATATTATTGGGTCTGTTTTAATAAACTCTACTTAACTTTCTGGAATCGAGTTTAGAAATAAAAAAAAAAAAACAACCTTATTTTGGAACCAACACAAAGTGGTGAAAGTAAGCGGCAACAAAGGGCAAACTACTCTTGTTTTAGAAAAACATGAACGTAGACCATTAAAAGGAAGGTTTTATTTGCGCTTTTGTTTTATGCATGCATTTTAAATAAAGTTTTATTCTAAGCACTTTTTAAAAATAATAAATTAGAATTAACACATAGTTAAGGGACGTGTATAAAGGTGATTACGTGTATCAATTGGGTCAACAGTCTTCGGCGTACTTTTATTAATTTTTTATTTCGAACATTATTTTTTAGTAAATGTGTATGTGTGTGTGGAAAAGAGAATGGTAAGCTAGTGAATTAACCTGAAAGCAAATATCTCAAAGGCGTCATTCGTTAAACACGGATAAATTTCAGTCCTGTGCAAATGTCACTTTTTTATTTAAATTATTAACATAAATTTTCATTTAAAGCTGAAATGTCAAGCACAATAAGTTTATCTACATGCTTTTCACTGACATAAAATATAGATTGGGTAGTGCTAAAGATATCTTTCTCATGTTTATTATGTTCCTATGAGGCTTATGATTTTTTACAAATGTTTCTAAATCAGATTTAAAGTTCCAAATGAGTGTGGGAGGTTTTACAATGTATTTTTTTCTTAGAATACCTAAGTTATACACAAAGACTTACTATGAACGCCTTTATGCAAATTAAAAAATCTAGACTAATCTTTGTAAAAATACATATCATTTCCACTTTAAAAATAAACGGGGAATGAAAATTGTTCGTTTTCCCACCTATGATATATAATTTTAAGTTATTCTATGTTAAATGACCTATTTAAATAAAATTAAGGAACAGATAGATCTAGACAAAACTTGGAACAAATTTACTTGAAATTCTATCGTGAAAATCTAGAGTAAATTTAAACTCATAATATTCGCAGCTTGGCTTCTAATGATAGTGATTAAGTTGTGATATGAAAAAAAAAACTCGACTGCAAAATAATTACTTTCTAGTTTAGATGTTTCAGTTGATCTGTTGGCCAAACAAGAATTACCAAACTCGGGACTAAGAAATGAGCCAAATGGTTTGTGTCATCCAAATCAGCTGGTATAGGGCAAGACAACAGACAAATTAATTCTGAATCCTGGTAATAATGCCTGTCAATCTCTATGCAAGCATGCAATGGCAGACACTCAAGTTTCAGGAAGAGACAATGGTTATACAAGTAATTATAACAATTACCGTTTTTAAATAGTCAATTTACAAGTTAATTTATTGCTTTAAAATGATGTCCAATCCACGGCCCGTAAACTGATGTTTAATTGCCAACCAAACGTGAAAACATGTGTATAACTAGTGAAGAAAGTGAAATATTTCATGCTGAAAATATTTTCAAAACACATTCATTGATTCAGTATTTGTGGGAAATCGCATGGCAGCACATGGAAAAGTTGTAACATAGAAATTTGTTTAATTTTTTTTTTTTTTTTTTTTTTTTTGGGGGGGGGGGTCATAAAGCTAAAGAATGTCATGGCTTGACAGGTAGCAATAATTTATATTAAGCACATCAGCTTAACATCAAATGGTTTGACAAGAAATTTTATAGTACCTTCTATTTCTTTCTGCTGCTTGTACAGTGGAGGTGCCACGGGATATCGGGTATAGTTACTAAAGGTTTTGGGGAATATGAACAGGGGAAACAAAAGTAACTTGATGTATAGCAATTTTGTCGTCTTAAAAATGTCCATGTCGACACCAACGGGACCAAGTTATATGAAAGTTAACACTGCGCTTTTATTTTATAAGAAAAGTTTGTAGGTCAGCGTAATCGAGATAGGAGTTTGAGTGCTAACGTTATCACTAACATCTACTGTGGTCAGTATGGTCCATTTATGGTGCGTTATTGAAACAGTCTAGCCAGAACTGGCAGAGTTTGTTTCCATCCTGAAATGTTGTAACATTGGAAACACATACCTTGTATTTGGTGATTTGAGTATAAGACGTTTAATAAGTAGAAATCAGGATGTAAAACTCTGTTTATTTTTAGTAAGTGTAATTCAGTCAGGCAGGAATTGTGAGAGACTTTCTGAACGATTCTTGGACGTATTTTTTAATTTAAAATCTGAGTGTGTGTGGTCATAAGAGTTCTCAATGATGTTTATTTGATCTGACAAATTTCCAGATTTACTGAACTGTTTTTACAACAACAAAAAATTGGACCGTATCCTTAGAAGTACTAACGCAATTTAAACAGGTTTCTATTCAAATAAAATGAGTAAAACAGAGGAGGGTTAAATCTGAAAAAATAAACGTAACAAAACAGTGAACGTGTCGGCAGAAAGCCTTCGTCAGCGAACAAAACAACAGAAAAACGGTATAAAAATAAAAATAAGAAATAGCACTTAGCTGATAAGTAGTATCTGTGGGCAGCAATAGAAGTGTCGCCCCTTATTGCCCCTTCTATTCAAATACAAACATTGTGTCCAGAAGATGTAACGCCTTGACTTGCAAACATTTCTAAAACCTAATGAGGCTAAATGCTACTGAAAACTGTATTAAAAAGAGTTACACATTAAAACAAATTTATTTCATTTAGTTACTGTCACCTTTTTATTCGCTTTTTAATAGTCTGGCCGAGCCGATAATGATACTGGGTATATGACTATTTATTCTTACAGTAAGAAGTATAAATACTGTGAATAGTTTTCTAAATCTAAAAATAAATCTTTTGAGATGCCGAATGCGGCCAGAGGCTTAGCGGAACAGTTTTTTTTTTTTTTTTTTTGTTGCTAACCGAGTCAAAAAGGTTGGCTATGAATGCTGCTACAAGCGCTAACTTAATGTCAAAAGGTTGGCTATGAATGCTGGTACAAGCGCTGACTCAATTTTAATTCGCAGTTATATTTTTTAAAATGTGTTCATGACTGAATGGCTATGTGGGTCAGGATTTATCAACTACACGGTTGTGTAAGTTCTAGTCTAACTTAAATCTAAAATTTTGCAAATTTGTTCCATAATGGGATACAGGGATATTACGAGACATAGATATGTTAGTAATTTAAATAAGCAGATATTTTGTAACAGTTGGAGGTAGTGATAATGATATTGAAATAAATATTTTATTTATGTTTATGGGAGATATGAAAAAAGCAAAAATATCCGTGTGTTAAGTGCTTATATGTGTTTGTATGATACTGTAAGAGAAAGATAGAGAGAGAGAGAGAGAGAGAGAGAGAGAGAGAGAGAGAGAGAAATAGTGAGAGAGAGAGAGAAGTATCTTTCAAATTAATCTCTTTTCTGCTGTTGAAAACTGATCATTAATGCCAACATCTAGGCCTACAAATAGGACCTAAATAATGTCTTAAAGAAACACTGGTGTAAGAAAAATGTAACGGATGGACGGTTTGCCCTCGATGAAAATTTAAAAACGGGAGGGGCGCTGAATTGCTTGGTTCTATTCATTTACACATTATTGTTTATTTTGTATGATCGTTGGTTGTGTATTTTTTAGTTTCCTGAAGTTAAGAACAACATCGGGTGTAACAGCAATTACTTTTTTTGCAATTATTACCAGGTCTTCTTAGAATAACATGCATAGAGTTTCAACTTTAGATATTCAGGCTATGCTATTATCAATAAGATTCTCGCACCCCTCTCCCTACGTCACTTCTACAGGGAATATGAATTCATTAGATTGAACTGAAATGTGTACTGATTAATTTAATATTAACATAAAAAGGCTTAAGAACGATTTTGTCAAGGGAAAATATATTTACTAACTAAAGTATTTTTTTTTTTTTAAATTAACAGATTATTTTAAAAAAAACAATCCGTACATATAATTCGTTGCATTTTTAAAATCAACATCCATATCAATGCCTTACACAATGTCTAAGGTATGTTCAAATGTGTCATCTCCTCGTAAGAAGGATGTAAATTAAAAGATTTTCACTTTTCGCATTAAACGTGGTTGCAAACACAAATAAGGAAGAGGTGATCAGAGGAGCAATGAGGCATTTCATTGTTAAATAATAAATATATTAACTTGATATGTAAGTACATTTTTAATCTTTTCTACGTGAAGTGGACAAGTATTCAAAATATGAAATCAGCTTTTAACTAAACTACATTTCCGACGGCAAAAACCAAAAATCAGTTGTTATTCAATGTGAATGAATTCTTTACAAAGGGACTTCATTTTGTATTCATCTTAATCTATTAAACTTTACTTGTGTTTAATGTTTGCCTTTTTGCCCTGATTATTATATTAACTTGTCTTTAACATTTAACGATTGTAATCCACTGAAGATTGCTCTTTATGACACACAAAACAATGTTAATTATTCCTACAAAAGGATGTGTAAAACATTTCAACAGATATCATTTTAAAAAGATTAAATTCCAAGATTAGCAAATTGAGACATGAAAATTTAATATTGAATTTATTTACATATTAAAATACAATTTTATTTTATTGAGAGGGTTTAGACCTATTTAACTTTAAATAATTTTATATTTTTACATCTCAAAAACAGAAATATGATAACAAAAATCACGACATCAATTGTGTCATGGTCTATGCTTATTCTGGTACAGTATGTTATCTACAGTTCAGAACAATGTAAGTTGGAATATATTCATCATAAGTTTTTCATTGAAGGAAAACACCAAAGAGAAAAAATCTTTAAGTTAATTAACCAAAACTTAAAATATTTTGATAAAGAGTTAGTTAAATTTAGTCAAATGGTGTCAAAAACAATTATTTTTAATTGTTTTTTTTATTAATTTCATTTAAAGAAATGGTACTCTGCTTATCACTGGCAGTCGATTTGATTTATTTTCGTTTTATTTTTTGTATTATTGTAAGTATGGTAGTTTTTAAAACAAAATGAATAATATTTTGAGTGCATTATGAAATAATTAATGTACTTGAACCATTTACCCATAACAGCATGTACTACAACAGACCGTTTCAATAACGCATGGTTTGGTGCAGTTTGCCAGTACAAATGTCACTGTAAGAACAATGTAGCTTGTAATGTTATCAATGGTGACTGTCCTAATGGCTGTGATATTGGATGGTTTGGTCCAGCTTGTCAGTATGGTAGGTCATTATTGATAAGCCCTACGCAAAACATGTAAACTTTCTGTCTGGACGTTTTCCCCACTCAATTATGTCTCCATTCTCACTCTGTACTTTTTAAAAATTATTATAAACATATTTTCCTTTTCTTTAACACTTTTTTCTGTCTTTAAGAAATAAGCCTATCTCGTAATTTCATCATAATGATATGGTCATATTTTTTTAATTATCTAAACGTATTCTCAAATGAAAGGCCAACCTCGAATTAGAACCTTGTTATTCTCAAATGAAAGGCCAACATCCAGTTAGAACCTTGTTATTTTGTGTTTCCTGCAAAAATGGCTCATTATAAGGGTTCCATCTTTTGTACCATGATAGAAGGGTTGATTAACTGTTGTACCAGGATAGAAAGGTTGATAAACTATTGCACAGGGGAAATAACTCATTTTTTTCTTTAAAATATCGAAATGGAACCATGTTTTTCTAGGGGTGGGGGGGGGGGGCGAGTTCTTAAACATACGTAATGTTTTTGTCAAATAATATTTCGTTATCAAAAGCATTACTCTTAAAGTAGGGTAATAAGGGGAGAGACTGCAATCAGGTTAGCACAATACAAAATGAGTAAAACAAAGTAGGATTAAAACTGACGAAGGCTTTCTGCCGACATGTTTGTTGCTTTGGTACGTAACTTTTCTCAGGTTTGGCCCCACTTTGTTTTACTCATCTTAAAGTAGAGATTGGTGTTAATTATAATATGTTTGATGATACTAGGCTTTCAAAAATATTTTGATCAAATAAAATGGAAACTAAAAAAATTAGATATATATATTTTTAAAAATAAGAATTGAACAGGCTTAAACAAACAGTGCACAATTCATCAGTTATCATATCGAAAGCGTTTGTGTTTTCTTTAAATTTTAAATTTGCTACGATTTTAACAAAGTTTCCTGCATAACAGATATTTAAAGTGCTCAATACAATAAAAGCACCTTGGTGTAATTCACTCCCTGAGTATGACAAGTATTTCCTTGTCACGACATTGTACTATCTATAATGATATGATTGATGAGGTTACAAGCGCGCGCACCAGGTCGACCCAAGACTTGTAGCATGGCAGTACGTCTACCAAAAGCACTACGATGTACAATCGCTAATTGTATACTGGTGTATACGCCTAAGTCTATGTGAAACTTGAGGCAGTTCAGCATGTGTTATTAGGACTATATCAATTATAGGTGTTGGTCGACGCATGCATACGTGGATCTTTAGGGGACAAGGCTCTCTGTCGCATACCTAACAATGGCGATCTCACTGTAAATGGGTACATTAAGTGAGATTGTTATATATATATAAATATAAATATATTTAATTTTTTTTTGGGGGGGTTGGGTTGGAGGGGGGTGTTATTTGTTTTAGAATAAACATGTTTTAAATTATATCCAAGGGTAAATTAGTATTTTATGTATAAACAAAGATAATTTGAAAATCCAAATTAAAAAAATATAGTTTGAAAGTCCTAATAAAAATTTCAATCAATTTATTTTGGGTAATGTATGCTTTATTTTGTAAACAACTCATGTCTTCTTTACATATAACGCCGCTCAGATACGACTAACAAAAATGACCAGTTTTAAGAACCCATAAAACGATTTGAACCTTCTAATTAACATTTTTTTTTCAAATTTTCACTCGTAAAACTTGAACATTTTTAGCAAAGGTAATTATTTCACATAAGTTGATTATTGTATTTTTTTTTCATTTACGTTCAACATATGAAATGATGTTTGCAGTGCATTTTGTGATTAAAACGTTTTTTTTTTTCCTACTGAATATTAATGTATTAACTATATAATTAACACCAAACAGTTTAAAATTAAAAAAAAAGCTGCATTACACTTTTTATTAATATAAACCAAATACTTGCGTAATACAAATATGTTAAGCAGAACCGTCACTCGTCTTTCCGAGGCCCCTTTTTCACTTTTCGGTATTGTCCTCCCCTCACCTTGCATTGAAAGATGGAACGTATGAATATATCCAAATCACATCTTCAAGCCCCTAAACATTCAAGGTCCACTTCAGTTTTAGGATTTCTGGGCCACACGATGTTCCTAAGGATATGTGACACCCACATTTTTTTTTTAAACTAGCATCTCTTTCATTGCTCTCCAAGTGTAGCGTGAAGCAAAACTAAATTAAAGAATTTGACAAAAGGCATTCTTGTATTTTGAATTTATCAAATTTTTTTTTTTTTGGTACTTTAAATATCTATTTGGCAATATTAAGATAGGAAAAATACATACTAACACGGGTGCCACAAAGGAATGAATTTAGTTCATATCCCGTTGGTGCGGCGTTAAACATGTCCGTGGTCATTATTATTGCCAATTTTGGCACTTCCCTCACAAAATTTTGAAATGTCGCCCTAAAAATTGTCTGAAAGAAACATCGAATGTATGAGCAAAAATGCACCCCTGCATTTTTAATTGATTCGACTTTCTTCAGCAGCCTTAATTTCTGCAACACTTCCTTTCACGCTTATTAATGTTGCAGTACGGGATTGAATATAATCTTCGGCCCATAGATTACCCTAGGGCGAGCCACAACTAAAGTGAATTTAGTTTATGTATGACACTGACATCATAATGCCTGCCAGACCTTTAAAAATTATTTCCAATTAGCAAAAAGTGAAATAAAAGCATTGAATTCAACTACATTCCAAAATTCATATCCTTATCTTGAAATAATAAAAAAAAAATTTAGGAGGAGTTCACTCCGTCGTTGCCATAGATCATCTAAAAATAACGTCAAATTGGAGATGGCGTCGGTGGGTCGTCGAGCGTGAGCTCATAATAGCCCCCCTCCGGCACACCTCCACGCGGGCCGAAGCCGGGTCTCCCCGTGAGCAGACCGTGCGGAAGCACACCGGGAATCTACCCTGGCCTGGGGGACGCCGGTTGACTGAGGACGCTGCGTTTAAAGCGTTCGCGGTCCACTGTTCTTGGGTCTGAACGGCTTTGCTTCCTCTCCGTGGGAAAGACGTTGCGTTACCTTCCCCTTACCGTCCAGGGAGTGGTCGGTCGGGAAGAAAGCAAGGATGAAACGTTTCCATTCATCTCGGCTCTATGCTTTTCTTTCTAGTATCCCACACTATGCTTTTCTGCCTCTTTCTCACGTCCTTGTGTATTTTTAAGGCTTCCTCGCTTTTTTCTTCCTCGGGAATCCATGTTAGGAATCGTCTGGTAATGTTATCTGCCTTATCCAACTCCATATTTTACTTATTATGTCATTTGCAAAAGGCTCGTGGTTTGCCCTTTCTAGTAAGTCTTTGTTGGTGATGATGTTTTGGCATTTGATCTTTAGGATCTTTCTAGGGCAATTGTTTATAAAGGTGGAATTTTTCTGATTAATACTTGCTGCTGTTCCTCAAGTTTTGGCTCAATAGAGTAGGACTGTTTTGACATTTCTGTTGAAAATACTACTTTTGTTTGAAGATTAAGCTCTTTTGACTCCCATATTTTCCTATTCTAGGCTTGATATCCGCTTCGGATGCACCGTTTCAGTCAATGGTGTTCCCTAAGTATTTGAAAGCATCCACTTCTTCCAGTGCATTTACTACCAGAGAGATATACTCTTGGTTGGCTTCGTTTGCCTTTATGATCTTTGTCTTGCTTTTATTTATATAAAATAAAAGAATGATTCATCTGCGCCCTCTATTTCTAACCTAAATCCCAATAAAAAAGGGACGCTAATTAAGATGACGAAAGGCGTAGCTAATATAATTGTCACCATGCGGCCAAAATGTTTTGCCGCAATACCTTCTCACGACACAAAGTCTGCATTTTTCAGAAAATGATGCAACTCTATATAAAAAAAAAAGTGAGACCTGAATGAACAAACTCATACTCCCCCTTTCTACGAATGGTTAAGCGGCAGGAGATATGATTTATTTTTGCGCCACCCCCCCCCACCAACCACCACCATTAAACCTGAAACTAATTTTTTCCAAACCATTAAATCCCAGCAAAGCCCATTTTGTTTCCCCTTTCTACGAATGGTTAAGCGGCAGGAGAAATGATTTATTTTTGCGCCCCCCCCCCCCCCCCAACCACCACCATTAAATCTGAAACTAATTTTTTTCAAACCATTAAATCCCAGCAAAGCCCATTTTGTTGTCCCTATAGTGGGGCGTTCCGGGAAGTATGTCCCATATTCCACCCCTTAGTTATGCCTCTGGCCTGTGCCAACTTACACTGCCCCACCCTCCCGAAAATCTGTAATGCCCCAGTGGGGACATTGTCTGAAAGAAACACTAACTAAATGTAAATTTGAATATCACTTTTCACACTTTTCTTGAATGATAGCATAAATGTATGGTATCATCATTGCCTTTTCTATCAGACGTTTGTACTCTTACAAAATGCTTCTTGAATGTCTACTGCTCTCAAAGGTTCTTAGATCGCCACATTGATTCCCTGCCAGAGTGAATACCAACAAAGTTGGCACCTCTGCTGGTTTAGCTTTATTTGAGGTATCGTTTAACTGCTCCGGATTATGTGCTTTAAGTAGAAATATTATGAACATTGTTCTACTTTTTTTCCTACGTATTTCACTTTTAGTTTATGAACATTTCATTTTTTTCTAAATCTCCACATGATCAGATGATTAGTTACATTTGTCTTTTCGTTCCCTTGACTTTGTAAGCCAAGAAGGCTGTCTGCCAATACGTCCATTGTTTCGTTTTATTCTTACTCTAGTTTTTTCCATCTCGTGCTACACTATCACTTACAAAAACCTTGTGTAGTCACACGAACGCGTGCAAGGGTTTCTTAGGTCATGTTAGCGATGGACATTTGTTAAGATCTTCACTCTTCTAAGTACCTTTCGCATTTAGGGACCTCACATTTCAAACCTAACCATTTTGTCGTTATGTTTAATTGATATTTAAATATATTTTGGCAATTTAATTTTATTTAAAAAGAATGAAATTGTTTGCGAAATACATTTCCTATTTTTAATTCCAAGTGTTTTTACTAGTTTAAGAGAAAAAAAAATATTTTTAAACCTATAAGGTGTAAAAAGTAATTTGTCTAATTAGAATAAATCGTTTGTAAAAGGCCTAATTAATTTGATAATTTTTAATTCAATTGAAGGATGCTTAATTAGTTTTATCTCAGATATTCTTAACATAGTTTGTCATTCATAAACTATTAACTACGAATTACCAGTTTTAACTAACGAAAATATCTATATACAATTTCTACAAAACAGCCCTTCTTCTCCTTTTCGTACCTTGTAATTCTTTCTTTCAAATGTAATAGTTTTAAATGCTTATTTGTGAAAAAAAACTAGTTATAGAAATATTTTTTATGTCTTTTAATTCCTTAAAATTGTATATATGGTCTAACCGTTTTTGTTTGATATTAATTAAAGCATAAAACATTTTTTAAAATGGTACTAATATGGAGTTGCCAAATGTTTTTGATAATTAATATTTTAAATAGCACACATTTCCTAACAGGCAGAAATAATTTATTTCAGCGGATTTAGCAAAAACTGCGCAACTTACGCTTAGCGACGGCGCAACCCAAGATGTCACAAAGATTATAGATGGAGATGATACAACATGTGCAGCTATTACAGGTTCTAGTTTTTCGCTTCATATCACATGGACTTCTAACATCTACTTCACTTGGTTGAGGCTTTTTGTCGGCAATGCTGGTAATTGAATTATCTTAGATGCGTATTTCTTCGATACATTTTTTAAAGTTTTCAATGCTTTGATCATTATTTATGTGATCCCGTATTTAATTTTAAAATGTTGTTTAAATTTATATTTATACATTTATTTTCAGTCATTTATAATACATTGTATTTTGTGTCCTGCTTGTTTAGAATTACAAAAAGAAAGTTTTTCAATAAAGTTTCCTGATAATGTATCAACACAAAATTTGGAATGTTTAAAAGTCTTTGTGGACAAAAAAACAGTGGATGTATTTTGCAACATTTCAAAACCTACCCGACACATTGTCTTGAACGGATCAACAGTGATCACATTATGTTCACTCTATATTAGCAAAGGTAATATTTTAAAATAGTACACAATTTTCAACTAATTAATCAGTGTTTTAAATTTATTTTAAAATAAAAACATAAGTTTTGCATCCAATTTTAAGACATTTAATAATTGAGGCAAAAGATAAATGGATAAATGTTGATACCTTTTTAGTTCACGTTTATGTACAAGACATATTAAATGTATTAAAAAAATGTTTGTTTATTATTTCTTTATTTCATAACTATTAGATCTTATAAAAATCGAAATACTTTTTTTTTTCATAGATACAATTGTGGTTTAGTACCAACTGAGTACTTGCACTTAATCTATTGTTGTAAATGCTTGTATATCTCCATTAAAAATGTTTGCAAATTATTGCTCTTTAAAATAATAGACAATGTCAACTGACCATTTAAAGCAAGTCTTAAAAGAGGACACTACAATAGTTTGTACATAGAAGTCCTGTAATGAAGCAAAAAACGACTTGGAAATTAAGGCCCTGATAACTCAATATGTTAGAACTTTTAAATATTAACAATTTTGTTCTTGAATCAATTTATCTTCAGGTCGAAATGTTGCTTTAAAACAGTCAACAAATCAAACTTCAACATATCGTCAGCCCCCATTGTTCATCTCTAGCAACGCTGTAGATGGTAGTTGTCAACTCCTACACGTCTTCTTGGATTGATTACATTCGTCAGTTCTTTCACACGTTGAAGCGTCGTACTATTCTAACTATCAATTAACAAACTCAACTCCGTTTCATAATAACTATAACTTTAATATCTAAGTAAATATAATAAACATCCTATCACTCCAAGGTTCCACTCAAGACTGCCGCACGACTACAACATACGTCACAACACTGCATAGACAATACGTCACGACTCAGCATAAAAATACGTCATAAATACAATGGCGGGAAGAGCGTTCACTAACTATAATAGTCAAGCGCGGGAAAAGCGTTCAACAACTAATGAACATAATATTGAGTCGCAACAATTCCTAATGAACGCTCATACTCGACAGTAGTACTAACTGGTATGACAACTCTTGCACGCACACTAATGACAGTGGCGAGGCTGCTCCAGAGTGGACACTATATTTTCAATCAATTGTTACAGTGGCAAGTTATACACTCTACAACCGTAATGGAAGTAAGTAGTATGTTCATACAATGCAAGGACCACCTTAGTAAATCTGAAAATGGGATGGACGATATGTAGAATCTAGAATGTTGCCTAATTATAATCAATGATTGGCATCCCCTAAAATTCACTCGACATTGTTCTCCTTCCAACATTTTATCTTTACCTAGAACATACCAATTACCCCGGCGTCATTCAAAATGAACTATTTTCAGTATTTGACCATGGAAAAAATTTACATTACTATATAACTCTGCTTACCCTCTCCATTTCCAACTGATACAGATTTCCATCAACGTTTTGGCATCTAAATCTATAATGTTCACGTCTTAACCACAAATAGAATGACATTATCACATGTAAGACATTAACACATTTCTTAGTTAATACCGAACGCCTAAATGTTGAAAAGGGATCTACTCCATACTCAGCAGTATCCAAATTTCCATAACAAAAATATAACGCAGGAAACCTCACTTCAAGATTTCCCTTTAAAATACAAAATGATGCTTCCACCAAAACACAAATACAGTCTCTGATTTCTATATAAATTTACAGAAATACACCATTCAGATTAAAGAAAAAAATATGTAACTTTGCATTGTACATGCCACTATAATTTAATATTTTTAAATAAAATATATATAAACTCATTTCATTTTCCTTCGAATAAGTATCTTTTCTTTGAAACTATTTGACTGTTATGTTTTATAGATATTATGATTCCTAAAAATTAACCCAACTTTAACAAGCTTTAGTATTATTATTGTTTATTTTTATTGAATTATTTTGTGTTTTTTAAAAAACTAAAATACATTTTATTATTTTTTCTTTAGATATCTTTGAGATAGTTTACACTTTCACGCTTGTAATTTAAGTACGGATAAACATTAAGTTTCCATAGTCGCTGTTTCCATATGTCGCTGTTTTTTGTCTACTTTCCCTTGTCTCATGAAGACAGATGAATGCAAATACATAAACATAAATAATAATAATAGTAATAATAAAGTTCATTTCAAAAACACGCTTCATCCCCAAAGGCTCGAAGCGCGGTACAAAGTCAACAAAAAAATATCTATAATTCACCACATTTAAAACAAACGCAGCACTACAAAAACTAATTACAAGCATACAATATCAAAAGTCTTTCTAGCCATTTCAACCCGGAGCAACACAGCAACACATGAAAAATAAGGTAGACAATCATCTCAGAAGGTATTTGCGAAATAGATGTGTCTTTAGATCGGTTTTAAAGGACTCCAGTGTCTGGTTGTTTCTAAGATCGACAGGAAGGGCGTTCCAAATTGTTGGACCAGCAAATGCGAAAGTGCGCTTTCCGTAAGTCTCAAGGCAAACACGTGGTGTCGAGAGTTTGCCACTATCGGATGAGCGGAGCTCTCTAGTGGGTACATAAGGCGTCAGCAGCTCTTTCAGATAGGACGGCGCCAGGTCATGTAAGCAGCGGTAGCACAAAGTTGCGATTTTGTACTCCATGCGAGCACGCACTGGCAGCCAGTGCAGCTCTCTCAGAAGTGTTTTTGCATGGTCAAACTTGCGTTTGCGGAGAACAATGCGAGCCGCATTATTCTGTGCTATTTGAATTTTATCCAGGAGCGTAGCTGGAAGACCCACCATGAGAGCATTGCAATAGTCCATGCGTGATAGCACAAATGCAGACATCAGCCTCTTTGTTGTATCAATTGTTAGGAAGGGCCTGATTTGACTAATCCTGCGCAGCTCCAGAAAAATCGCCCTGCATAGCATGTTAATATGACTTTCAAAAGTTAGTCTTCTATCTAGGTAGACACCCAGGTACCGCACTGTTTGAGCTAACTCAATACGCACACCTGAGAGAGTAATGGATGTCGTGTTATTTGCAGATTTTTGCTTCTGAGCGGTCGCGATGGGGAGCAGCTCAGTCTTATCATCATTTAATTTGAGCTTGTTTATGGTCATCCAGTGCTTAACCGACTCCATTGTCTTCTGTGTAATACTGAGCAGCTGAGGGAACTGAGAAGGGATCACGGATTGATGAAGTTGTGTATCGTCCGCGTACATGTGATACAACATGTCAAACTGCCTGATCTCTGCGCCCAGGGGCTGAATGTACATCGTGAAGAGCACCGGGCCTAGGACCGAGCCCTGGGGTACTCCGAATTCGATATTAGATTTCTTCGAAGTCAAGCCGTTTGAAATAACTGACTGCACCCGATTAGTCAGATACGATCGGAACCAACACAGGACGGTATCAGTGAGACCGAACGTTTGTTGCAGACGCTGGAGCAGTATGCCGTGGTCGAGCTTATCGAAAGCTGCCGATAAATCGAGTAAAGACAAAATCGATACCCTGCCCTCATCACAAGACGACAGAAATATGTTCAAAAATTAAATTGCCATGTAGAGATCAATTCATAACAAAAGCTGAAAATTAAGAGGACCGAAAGAGGTAACATCCTTAAAGAGGCGTAGTGATGATTCATGATGCTCTCAGAACAGCAAACATTTTGCCCTAATATTTAGAACACAAAATTAATTGGCATAACTAGGTTTGGTAACATATGCTTCGGTACAACTATGGTGTCACCCGACTTACGTAACGGATTTCTTGCCCTACCTAATTTTCTTTTTCGGTTTAATCCTGAAGTGTCAAAGTGTCCTCTTTTTATAGCCATTTTCATTGTTTCTATAGAATAGTAGTTACTATCCTAGTGTCTCATTTGTATTTACTTAGTTTACATGTTTTAATAATTGTAAAGCGCTTAGAGCTTTATGATAAGCGCTATATAAAAATGCCTAAATAAATAAATAAATAAATTTCTTCTTGTTCAAATAAGTCTACAGCATAACAATGGGATAAAGTAACATGAACTAAAGGTTGGGATATATATGTATTAAAGAATTGTAACAACGTTACGATTTAGTTATTTTTACATTAAATATACCATTATTGACAAATTTCCTTTCCTGGTCTTTAAAGCTCCAAACCTGTCAATAGATTATAATAAATATAGTAAATATTCATCACCGTATATTTCAATTCATAGTAGAGCCAGGTCAGAAAGACGTGACCGTCCCGTGGTGGATAGTAACTAGTTCTTGATTAGCCTTAATGTTAAAAGGCTACGCTCCCGTGAAGCCACAGACACACAGATCTTAGGAACCTATCGAAGACAACCAAGATTAAAGGATGACAATCTAGGAAGTTACAATTATTTATGAATATCAAAAAATAAATGCCATCCAATCCATGACTTTCTGAAATCTATTATCAGCTGCCCTTAGGTGTCTTCCAAGCCTTAGTATTTCTTTAAAATTTCTCTTCTTATACTTCAAAATAGAAAGAGGCTTATATTTTGAACGGACAGCAATAACTCTTCTTCATTTGCTGATAGAAGACTCTTGGATTGAAAAGCCCCCCAAAATTTGCCACTTCCTTGATCGCTCATGATCTGATGCGTGGTTCAGATAAAAACTGATCAATACACTTCAGGATCTCCCTAATGCTTTCTTCTCGCAGAGAGAACCAAACACATATTAATTGATCTCTACGTAAATCTTTATCTTATCTCTACCGAAATGGCATATCGGACTGATTGTATAAGTGTCATTTCAATAGCATGTTCCATCAAGTGACAGCGCTTCTCGTGCAAAAACTATCTAAAAGCCTCCAGGTTGGTCACAATTTTGTCAAAAGAAAAGACCTTAGTCTGAGATAATGATGTTTAAGATTAACTTCCCGAGTTAGATCAGCCCAAATGTAAAGTTGCAGATAATATAAAATCACGGACAACATATAAAATACCATGTGCAGTATAATAATCATATTCAAATGCTAAGAGACGGCGTTAGTGACGAATAGGCGAAAATATTAATTTTTAAAGTGTTTTTTGGAATTTGATATACATGGTTTCCAAAGTGATAGAAAATTTTACATACATTTAAATGCATTTTTAACAGATATTAGAACATTTTTTTTTTAAATATGATTTTGTAAAAGTTATATTTATTTACTGACATTTACCCGGCCACATGGCATCTTCAGAATTTAGATAAATATAGCTTACTGTGATTTTCGATGTACCGAACACTTGAATCGGAGTTGAATCACGTTTACTCATTAACATTTAATAAAGCACGCATTTAGATTGGTTACAAGTGGGGATAATTTAAATGTGTTCAATTAGACATTCCATCAATGAGTACAATAGACTACAACAGCACTAAAGAGGCTCAAGAAAATATGGAACGACAAAAATATACCGCCCAGCACCAAAATCAGGCTGAATCGCTTATTAGTCCTCTCCATTTTCCTATATGCCTGCAAATCCTGGACATTAACAGCAGATCTTGAAAGGAAAATAAAGGCGATGGAGATGAGATGCTTCAGAAGCATTTTTGACATCTGCTATAAGGAACATATCTCCAATGATAAAGTGAAAGAAAGGGTTCGCAAGGCAATTGCGGAGTACGACGACCTACTGGTGACTGTGAAAAAACGCAAAGTACAATGATACGGCCAAGTAGCAAGGAAACAAGGGCTTTCCAAAAAAATATTGCAGGGCACCACAAGAGGAGGGAGAAGAAGCAGTTGTATCAACTGATCCATTTTATTGAGTGGTTGTCAATTTTAATAATTTTAATTAGTATTCTTATTTTTTTTATAATTAGTATTCTCATTGTATTTTAATTAGTTTTTCTTGTATTTTTTAATTGATTGTCAAGGGGTGTCGGTCATTTTTTGTCTTTAATTTTTTCTCATATTTTTAATTAGGTTCCTTGTATATTTTGAGTGGTTCTCAGAGTATTATGTAAATTGTGCCTATATTCTAATGAGTGGTTTTAATTATATACTGTTCTATTGAGTGGTTATCAATTTTCTTTTGAGTCGCTGTCCAGTTTTCTAAAGAGTGGTTCTCAAAGTGTTCTGATTGTATTTTTATTTTTGTTATTTTAATTACTTTTCGTGTATATTTTAAGTGGATATCAAAGTATGTGTTGGGTCTTTAAGGTTGCATTTTAATAGTTTTAAATTAGTATACTTTAATGGGTTATATTATGTATTCATGACATATGTTTTTAATCATCTTCTTGTCCATGTTGAGGATCGAGTAGTGTAAACCTTAGTACATACATTATTTTTCCGCAAGTAATCATTAAATGTTATAAACCACACAATTATTATTATTCAATTATTTCCTTATATTGTTTCTTTTCTCAAAGTAACCCTTCAAGTATTTTTAACTTTTTTTTTTTTTTTAAATAAGTTTCAAAAATATTTTTTTTTAAAATGAATTTCATTAAGTTAAACTCAAGTTGCATTAGAAGCAGAGTTCATTTTATGTTGTCATCAAAAACATTTTTTTGATTATTCTAACAAATTTATGTAATTTATGTATTAATTTTTTATATGAATCATCACCCGAAACAGCCGGACAATGTTGTCTTGACCGATTGAAAGGATTTATTCTTAGAACATTTGACCAAACAAATAACATTGTCCAAAATTACACTGATGCTGAGACAACAGCTTTGGTGGTGTACGACGTTCTATCAACTGAACCATGGACTCAAGTTTCAAAGGTTCAAATAACAGCAACTACTCCATCACCTGTAATTATCCTAACTTTGTGTGAAGTGGAGATTTTTGGTGGTAAGTTTTTACATATAAGCCGATATATTTGTTTATAGGCCGCGTTAAATTGAAATCTGAAATTGGATTACCATATAATATACAGATGGTATTTCCTTAAAAA